CCACAGTAACTTTGTTTTTGCCTTACAAAAAAATCTCAAGGACATTGGTGTCCCAAACCACTTTGTTTCTTCTTTCTATTTTTTGAGACAGAGTTTCACTCTGTGCCCAGGCTGGAGTGCAATGGCATGATCTCAGCTCTGCCTCCTGAGTTCAAGCCATTCTTCTGCCTCTGAGTAGCTGGGATTACAGGCGCCCAACACCACACCTGGCCAAATTCTGTATTTTCAATAGAAATGGGGTTTCATCACATTGGCGAGGCTGGTCTTGAACTTCTGACGTTGAGTGATTCACTCACCTCAGCCTCGCAAAGTTCTGCGATTACAGGCATGAACCACCATGGCTGGCCCCAAACCACTTTTTAGGTTAATTTCTGGCCTGGGCTTCTAAGACCCTAAGGTTAATGTAAATTCCAACTCTTTAGGAAGCAGACAGGCTTTTTTCCAACTCAGATCACACCCATATTAACAAACATCCTCCCAGCCAAAGCTATTGAAATTTTAAAAAAATTAAGTAGTAACAAATTTCTGTTTTCATCTCCCAATGGACTAGGCAGCTTTTGTCCCAAGAGAGATCTTTTAAGCGTTCTGGTTTTAGGCAGGCTTCTCAGGCTCCCCTTATGTGGGTCCAAGGCTTTGTCTCTTGTCCCAGGGTGGATGTTAAAACGTGTGCCAGTTATTATCTATCCTCTTTGCCTGATTTTTGATTCTAGAACTGGACTCTAAGGACAACCTTTCTTGTTCATTGGCTGACTCTGTGCTACGCTATCCCAATACAGAGTGCAGCAAGGACATTGCAAGGGTAAAATAAGTAGCATTCGTTTCCTCTGTTCTCTTTATATAGTGGCAAGTGGATCAGCAGGAAGGAATCCTGGCAGTGTTTAATCACAGTGGCCGTAAGCCCTCCTGCTTCAGTGCTAGTGCTTCCTAGCCTTCACAGGGCATTCATGGGTAGGCATCTTCCATTATGTTCTCCCTTACCATAGTGGCAGGCAGCATGTTTCTAAAGCATCCATACCTCTTCTCAGAAACTTGAATGTCTACCTTGTAGGGCCTTCCTCTAACTTTCTAAATTCCTTTATTCCTTTTTTAATCACTTTTTTTCAATTCCAGTGGTAGTTGCGGCTCCCTGCAGGAGCTACATCTGTTTGATTTAGATTTTCCTTCTAGCATTAACCACCACTGACCTACTTAATGATTCCTTACATTAAATTTCCCTTGTTTGAATTACTAGTGTGGTTGCCAGCTAGGCAAGAGAGATCTGGAACAAACTCCGCCTAGAGGAAGGACTCCATATTAATCACGTAACTTTTACTATTTATCCCTCATCCATCTCTTTGTGAAATGCATATGTTGGGTGATCAAAGAAGGAAGCAAATTACTTAGTGTGCATTGTACTCAGTGTTACTGACTACTGAAATTCATCTCACATACATCCAAAGGCCAGTAAAAATGAGTTTGCTGGTGACTGAGCCAATAGTTAAATAACTTTCTCTTTTATCTTTAAGCCCATCTTTTTGTGCCTTTTTTCTTGGAAAACTACTGAAATGATCTACTTAACTATTTAGTTATGCAAATATAAAGTAAAAGAGCATCATAAGAAATACACTTGGGAGAAGTGATTTTAAAGAGCCAAAATATTCTGCATGATAGTGTAAAAAGTTGTTTGCATTATATGAAGTGTTAGTTCTCTTGGACTTGTTTTTTGGAGAAATGTTTGTTCATTAACTATGAATTTAAGCTGTAAAATGCTATTTATTTTTATGGAAATGTGCTCTTGTTCAAGCCATTGTTGGGTGTGTAGGAGCTGAAGCTAGACTTGGTGTACCTCAATTCTCGCTCATAATGGAAGGAAATATGTACAAATGAATTAGGCAATGCCAGGGCTGGTTCAATTTAAACCGGAACCGACCTATTGGTCTTTCATATGATATTATTTAAGACTAAATAAATAAGGCTTTAGGAACAATAGTGATATTAGCTTGTCATATTAAGATGAAATTATTCCATTTGGGTTCCCAGGACAATACAGTACTAATTGGTAGGAAGTGAGGTCTCCCCTTTAAGTCAGAGGATATTCTCACTTATAATTATCTGGGAAAGAGGCAGATCATGAGACAGACAAGGCCTAAGAGTTGGGGAACTTTTCCTCCATCTATGTCACATTTTCTTGGAGCCTGACTTCAGGTAGTGGTGTGGAGTGTGCCTGAGGACATGTTTAAGAGATAGAAATTTTAAAAGACTAGCATTTTGTATTGAATGACAGGAATGCAGCTACAAAGGAAAGTATAATATTGATGAAAATTTCCTTAAGTCTGTGGATAATAACAGCTAACATATTTATGGTATTTTAGATATAGTATAGTCTATGTCATACATTACAGAAATTACAATATATTATACTAAGTACTTGATAGTGCTTAATCATTTATCCTATCAACAAAGGCAAATTGTGTTTAGTGCTTAATCCTTTATCCTAACAACAAAGGCAAATTTTGTTATCTCATTATCTCCATTTTATAGTGGTCATATTTAGTACTCTGTGTAAATTTTGGTAATGCTCAGTGAGTTAAAAGTATGACTTTGTGTCCATATTTGGAATAATGTCATAATAGAGAACACAGAATTCTTCCCCATGAAGGGACCATATAACCTCCACACCAAACATAATAGTAGCAAATGATCTCAAAATGACAAAACATGATTAATAGTCAATAGAGAAGTTCTGAAGAGAGGAGAAATTCAGATTTGGAGCCACATAATCCAGAAGACAATTGGGGGTACATGCTGCATCCTGATGGACTCCAGAGCACCTATGAGAAAAAAACCTTTCCCTTCAACTTCAGAATTAAATACTTGAGAAAAGATAACATTGTGGGTTTTTTTTTTTTAACTTGTATTTTAGGTTAAGGGATACATGTGCAGGTTTGTTATATAAACTCATGTCATCGGGATTTGTTGTGCAGATTATTTCGTCACCCAGATATTAAGCCTAGTACCCAAGAGAAGAGTATTTTGAAAGAGGTGGGGAAAAAGGTGAGAAGTTCTGCTACCTGTGGGCAGGTGGGATGTCTCTAGCAAGCTGACAGTAAGCAGTAATCATTTTAGATAATCTTTCTTTTTTTGAGACAGGGTCTGGCTTGTTACCCAGGCTGGAGTGCAGTGGTTAGATCTCGGCTCATTGCAACCTCGACTTGCTGAGCTAAAGCAATTCTCCCACCTCAGCCTCCTGAGTAGCTGGGAATACAGGTACATATCACCACACCCAACTATTTTTTGTAGAGACAAGGTCCTTCCATGTTGCCCAGGCTGGTCTTGAACTCCTGGACTCAAACCATCTGCCCACCTTGGCCTCCGAAACTTCTGGGATTACAGGCATGAGTCACTGTGCCTGGTCCCACTGTAGATAATCTGTTTGTGTCTCTTACTGATAAGTTAAACATTCTGCCTGGCCAACTGTCATATAAATGAACTTTTTGAAATGATGGGGTCTTGCTATTCTCCAGGCTGAACTCAAACTCCTGGGCTCAAACAATTCTCCCACCTCTGACTTATGAGTAGCTGGGACTACAGTTACATGCCACCACACCCAACTCTAAATGAACTCTCTAGTAAAGATGAATTAAATGTATAAACCTTATCGAAATACACGTGACTATGGTGGTTACTGATTTTATACCCATGCCCAAATGTAAGAGTTGAGGAAGCAGTACTGTACCACTGCAGAAAGCATAGGCCTGAGTTTTCTTCATATTATACTTTAAATATATAATATAATTAAATGAGAAAATCATTTAATTCCTCAAAGACTACTCTTTCTCAACAATGAAACAAAGTTTATCTGCCTCTCAAACATCCATTCCAGTTACAGGTTTTTTTCCCTGCTAATTCTGCTTAATAGCACATTGAAAGGTCAAAAGAAAATGCAATCATTATTAAGGAAGCCATTCGGTCATTCTAATATTCACTCAAAGACCATTGGGCCAAATGTTATCCTATGCATCTGATTACAAAAAAAAAAAAACACAACTAAAACCCAAATAAAATTAAAATTAGTTAAGTAGCAGTGCTAAGATTGAAACCAGATAGGTATTCAAAGAAGCAAGAAAATGATAGTTCAGAGAAGATTTTATCATCAATAAAAATTTTCTAAAATGTGACAATTTTTCTAGGTTTAATTAAACAGGCTAAAAACTTGATGTGTCCAGTCCATGAGAGCATCCTCCTATTCACTGGACTAGGTGTCTTCTAAGCCACATCTAATATCTGTTGTGAGGCCATTTGTTGCCAAGACCCGAGTTATACAGCAGCACTTGAGGAGAGGGCTATAGACAGGACACATCAGAGCAGCTTTCTCTTTCCATCTATAGCAGTTCTGGCAGCATGCTTGGAATGACAAGGCTGGTGACCCGAAACACCCCAGCCCTCTTGCCAATTTCCTCTGAACCCCAACTACCCGACTCAAAATTACTTGAGGATTTGATTTTAAACAAAACAAAATAAGGCCAACAGTGCACCATTAAGCTTCCCTACAACACTGACAGTATGGAGATTGAGACGCAAACCAGAGACCAGAAAACATCTCGGTGCATTCAAAGTAACCCCAGTCAGTCCCTGACACTGTTTGCCACTTATGATGCAACATTAACAAAAACTAAGTACACCGTGCAGAGAAACGCCCCTTCTCACTCAGGACTTCATGACTTCAGGCCTGGGGCTCTAGCCCCTCACACGCCTTTGAAGCAAAGTTCCAAGGCTGAGCCTTAACCATGCCACGCCCAGCGTGTTCGGGACGAAGGTACCCGAAACTGCAACGAGAGAAGGAAATTTCCTAGTCAGGTCAAGGTCCAACAAAAAACGAACACCCGCAAGCGAGAACTAAGCCGTCTCGCAGGCAGAGGCAGCTGAACCAGAAGCGAGCGGAAGTGACTTAAGACCGGTCGCCGGAGGAGGCGGGACCCCGAGGCAGCGCGCCCAATTGGGGCGCGGGAGAGGCCGGGGGTGTGGTAGCGTCGGCGGCGAGCGTGGGCCTGGGAGCGCTGCGGGGCGGGGCCAGGGTGCTTGGCTCGCGGGGACTGGCCTCCTTCGGCAGCTGGAGGCGGTCACTCGTGCTGGGATCAGGGCTGAGACTAGAGGGGCCATGCGGCCGGCGAGGGAGTCCAGAGCCTTCAGCCCGGTGCTCCTCCCTCGCGCGGCGGTGGCTTGGTGGCCGCTGGAGTAAACACTGCCTTTGTTCCTAACGCCTTATCCCTTTCGTCGTCCCGGCCCCTGACACCGCCGTGCTCCGGCCGGCCCGCCCTAGGTCCCTGAACCCCATTTCGGCTCTTGCCGCGCGGATGCGGCTGCCGAGCCTGGGTTTGGGCACTGAGCAGGAGGAGGAGGAGGAGCGACGGCGCCTGGGCGGCATGCGATGGGGAACTGCTGCTGGACGCAGTGCTTCGGGCTGCTCCGCAAGGAAGCGGGGCGGCTGCAGCGAGTAGGCGGCGGCGGAGGGTAAGCCCGCTGGGGGAGGGGCCCGGCCCCCTTGGCTCCTCCTATTCGGCCACCGGCGGGGAATCCCTTTCACTATCCCCCAGCGGCTGGAGGTGGCGGCCGAGAGCCCTGCTACACTCACTGCTTAACAGACGTCAGATGGGTGGTCTCATGGAGGCCCAGTCTGGGTGCCGGTCTCAGGGCCTCCTTGGAAAGGAGTAGAAGAGGGGGCGGGGTGTCGCTCCCGCCAGGGTGCCCTGTCACGCGGGGAAGGAGTCACGGGAGACATCATCTCCAGGAAACAAGGGGCAGCCTCGCGCTAATGGGCTGTAGGTCCGGCTCCGCGGCAACCTGGACACACCCTGCGCTGAACTTGGGTTTAATGCCAAAGCTGGTATATTCCTGTATCTCACCCTCTCTTTATCCCTGATAGAACAGATGGGATCTGGCTCCAGAATTAATGCCTCAGATTGATTTTAAGTACTAGTCATTTGGATGCTGGAATAAAATAAGGTTCCAGATACTGATGAACTCTTTGATAGCTACAAAGACTTGCTGAATTGCAGAGTTTCCAGTGGGTATTCAGATTCTTGGTGCTGATAACTGCAGGGTGTAATTTTTTCATATTAAGTTTTTGAAATTTCGAGAGGAATGCCTTGTCCTGATTGCTACTTCAACGTCCTGTAACATTAGGTAAATGGCAGTCCTTCTGAACTTCACTTCTCTTGAGTAAACCTGGGATGTGCTTAGGTTTTGTATGTGCACCATCCACAGAATAGTAATTTCATAATTCCATTTTTGTGTTTTTTATTTCATAAATACTGAAAAAATTAGAGCAAATTCCTTTGGAGTTGGCTTTGTTGTTATTAAATATTCTTCAGGAATTCAAACCTAGAATTGAAAATCTGAACCAAGCCAGTTTGTGTAAGGAATAAGACTATTTTGCACTTTCTGAAACAGATTGTTAATTTTTCAGAATCTGTTCAATTTAACCAACATTATTGGGTAATAAATACAGTGTTCAACATAAACTGAAACTAAGTGATCATAACTTGAATCTTTGGTAGTGGAGATCTTATAAAATATAATACGATTCTTACTCATTTATCAGGCATTATGTTACCTCTCTGATACAAAGTAGCTAAGGTTTTACATAAGTATCCCCAGAATGGAAGGGCAAGGATTTGCAGTTTTGTGTCTGGTTTAATAATTTGATTTCCCTGATTTATGAGTTCTTACTGTTGAATGGGACATGACAGCTGTTTTATATTGTCAACCAGAATCATCGGATTTAAGTATTTCTAAATTTTGTGTGTGAATGCAACTTACAAGGTCAAGCTGCTTCAGTAGAGTTGTCCATGAACTAGATACCACAGAGTCTTTGTTTTTACTATTAATTGTAGTTATGTTACAAGACATTAAATTCTAACTCTAAGAAAGTTGGGGGTGGGGGTTTCTTACATTCGAAATGGGTAAGCAAAAAACTTTGTATTTGACTTTGGACTGCATGTGTCTGTAGGATTTTAGTTTAGTTTTGTTTTTTTTTTTTCATGTGGTCTCTGTAGAGTACAGCATTAAAATTGTAGGTTCTACTCCCTCAGCTTATGAGCTTAGCAACATAGGAAAGTGGCAGGAGGAAATCCATGAATCAGCGTGACTGTTAATTGTTTGTAGATGTGCCATAAAAACATAAGTAGATTGATTATTTCTTACCTGAAATACTTGTTTTGGATTGAGTTTTTTTTTTAGATTTTGGAATATTTGTTTGCGTTATATACTGGATTCGTATCTCGCATTTCCTTTGAGTATCATGTGGGCACACAAAAAGTTTCAGATTTTAGAACATTTCAAATTTTGGAGCATTTCAAATTTTGGGTTTTGGAGTTAAGTATACTCAGCCTGTGGTTAGATTTTTACTGTTTGTGGGCAAAACTCCTTGAACCAGTCCTGTAGAAGCAGTGAGAGTTAGTTTGTAGGCTGTGAACACTGTCATCTAAAATCGTATAATGATGATATTGATCCTATTACTTTAAGTCTATAAACATAGGATTTGACAGTTCTCTTACTTGAATTTGTTTATTATTATTTAACAGCAATTTTAATATTGTTTCAGCAGCTTTCAGTAAGCATGTAGACTCAGATGGATATAGTTATTTGTGCAGTAAGGTTAAACTGTCACTTATTTTATTTTATTTTTTTAAATCTACTGTTAGTTTCAATTTTCTTTCAAGTATAGGTCTGGATAGTTAACTAGTAGTTTTTCTAAGGGTGAAAAAGTTTAGGAGTAGTCACAAAAACTTGATCTTATATGTCTTTGTAGTGACCACAGAAGAAAAGGGTGTCCTCAACTGTTTGAGCTTGATTTAAGCTGGACTTCACAGGGATGCTTTATGATCTAAAGCCTGGTTTCTTAGCCTTGCAGATTGGCACACCCCTGGGAAATCTCAAAATCAGATCACTCATTTTTTACTATTCAATCTCAAAATCGGAATTACCACTTTCTAACTTTATAAAATACTAGGGAATTATAGTATCACATATTCTAGGATATCTGTTTCAACAGTCAAAATATCAGTATCAGTGTTGAGGTATGTCGGAAACCTTACTACTAATAAAGTTATTTGGTAATTAAAGCAGAGAGAATTAAATATCTTTAAGGAATAAAACGTAGACATCCTAATAAGTCTTAATTCTTCACTGGAGTTTTATCTGCCAACACTTTCTACAGGGCTCCATCTGCTGGTCAGTTCTGTTTCTCTGGGCAGGTCTTTGTATTCTTTCTCAGATGGAAGATCCAACTAAGTTTTATTGTGTTGTATTTAATTATTTCTATATTACTTTATAATTCCACTTAAACTATAGTTTTGTAGGAAGATATAACAAGATTTTATATTCTTATCAATATGTAACATTTGTTGGCCTCATTGGCTCCTGCAGCAAAGTTGTTTTCAGGCAATAGTTTACGGTAATTTGCTTTTCCATTCCTAGTAAAAATGATTTTAATAACTGTCAACATTCCATTACTCCCTATGTGCCAGGCATTGTTCTAAGTACTTTACATGATCTCACTTACTCCTCCCTGCAGTCCTGTGAAGCAAGTAAGTACTATTATATATAGTATAGGTTGAAAACTGAAACTTAGAAAGTTGACCTTTCCCAAGATAGCAGAGCTGGGTTTACAACCCAGGTCCCTCTGAATTCAGAGTTCTTATCCTTAACCACCACAAATAGCTCATGGTACTTCATTCTATGGGTAAACATGTGGTTGCTATCTCTCTCATTGCAGTATCTCAAACTTTGTCGCCAGAAGAACTTGTTAATATACCTGAACAACTTGACCCTTTATTCTTGTGCGATAAGCTTTTTCTTGAAACTATGCACTTGATCCCGGCAACATCACTTTTATCTTATTTTCCTGTTTCTCTCCTAGCTATTCTTTATCTAGTAAATGTTTTTCCTGTCTTCTCTTTTTTGTTTAATTTCCTTCACATGTATATTACCTGCCCCTGAATAAATTTTACCCATTCCTATGATTTCAACCACCACTACTTCCAAATCTCATCTTCTGCTTGTACATCTTTTTAGTTGTCTACCTAAAACATACTCTTGGATATATTCAATTAAATCTCTATTTATTCTTTTCAGTCTCTTCTTACACATACTGAACCTGTTTTCTTCCTCTCTTCTGCCATAAACATTGCCTTTCAAACTGCTTAGTCAGCAGCTTTAGACTACTGTCTCTATTGTAGCTCATATTTTAGCCCAACCTCCCTTCCTGTCATGAGTTAGGCTTTCTAAAACCCATTTTGGATCGTGTCTTTCCTTTGCTGAGCAGCTCCTGTCTGCTCCCTGATTCCCATAGCTAAATTTCTAAGTCTTTTTTTTTTTTTTTTCCCTGAGAAATCTCGCCCTCTCGCCCAAGCTGGAGTGCAGTGGCGTGATCCCAGCTTACTGCAACATCCGCCTCCTGGGGTTAAGTGATTCTCCTGCCTCAGCCCCATAAGTAGCTGGGATTACAAGCACCTGCCACCATGCCTGGCTAATTTTTGTATTTTTTTAATTATTATTTTTTCTTTTTTATTGCATTTTAGGTTTTGGGGAACATGTGAAGAATATGCAACGTTGTTGCATAGGTACACACATGAAAGTATGATTTGCTCCCTTCCTCCCCATCACCTATATCTGGCATTTCTCCCCATGCTATCTCTCCCCAACTCCCCACCCACCACTGTCCTTCCCCTATTTACCCCCGACAGACCCCAGTGTGTCATGCTCCCCTCCCTGTGTCCATGTGTCCTCATTGTTCAACACCCACCTATGAGTGAGAACATGTGGTATTTCATTTTCTGTTCTTGTGTCAGTTTGCTGAGAATGATGGTTTCCACGTTAATCCATGTCCCTACAAAGGACACAAACTCATCGTTTTTTAAGGCTGCATAGTATTCCATGGTGTACATGTGCCACATTTTCCCTGTCCAGTCTTTCATCGATGGGCATTTGTGTTGGTTCCAGGTCTTTGCTATTGTAAACAGTGCTGCAGTGAACATTCATGTGCATGTGTCCTTATAGTAGAACGATTTATAATCCTTTTTTTGTATTTTTAGTAGAGACGGGGTTTCACCATGTTGACCAGGCAAGCCTCAAACTCCTGACTGCAAGCAATCCGCCCACCTCCACCTCCCAAAGTGCTAGATTACAAGCATGAGCCACTGCGTCCAGCCCTAAATTTCTAAAAATTTTTTTTCCTTCTGTGACAGCATGATGAATTACACAGCATTCAGATGTATAGCGTAATGTCCATTTGTATACTCAGGATTATATGCAGTTCTATATTTGAGGTTTTATAATCTCTGTCAAAAAAAATGTCAGAATACAAATCAGTGAGAAAAACATTAAAAGAATAACATTAAAGCTATTCTAATTTTTTAAAAAAACTTGTTATTCATAAATCTTAGCATTTTAAATTTTTTGATAAGTTATTCTCCCAGCTACTAGTATCAAGTTTAAACTTCTGACAAAGC